TTAGATTAGTTTAGTTTAGACTAGACTAGACTAGACTAGACTAGACTAGATTAGATTAGATTAGATTAGATTAGATTAGATTAGATTAGATTAGATTAGATTAGATTAGGTTAGATTAGTTTAGTTTAGATTAGTTTAGTTTAGACTAGACTAGACTAGACTAGACTAGACTAGACTAGACTAGATTAGATTAGATTAGATTAGATTAGATTAGATTAGATTAGATTAGATTAGATTTGATTTGATTTGATTTGATTTGATTTTGGTTTGATGAGATTCGGTTTGTTTCGATTAGATTAGATAGATGAACAGATGGATAGATGGATAGATAGAAAGATAGGTAGGTAGATGTCTCGATGTACAAATATATACAATATATATATATATACATATGCATAGACGTATATCTATATCTCTATATATATATATATACATACATGTGTACACATCAAAGACACACACACACACCGACATCTATCTATCTATCTATCTATCTATCTATCTATCTAGGCGTCCCGGATCGAATCAGTGGAAATCACTGATATTGCTGGCGACCTCAAGTGCCAGAGGGTAGGCACGACATTCCCGAGCCATACCGAGCTTACCGCCTTGCCATCGGGACAGAGGCTGAAACATGCCAGAGCTCGACCCAGAATTTGGAAAGCTCGCGGCGGCCACCGTCAACCTCGTCGTGAAGACATCTGGCTGCTCGAGGCCCATCATACCCGGCCTGTTGTGCGGGAATCAATGGGAAGAAGGAACAGCCAATCATGGCGAGACGACTACTCGTCGTCGTCGGCTTGGCCATCCCAAGGATACCCGAAGGGTGGTGGCAAAGGCAAGCAACAGCAGCCGCCCAGGAAAGGCAGGGAGCAGAATGGCGAGAACAGACAGCCGGCTTTCCCCACCTTCGACATGATGGAGTCGGAGCCAGCAGAGGTGATGCCACCGGCCAGACAGTCCGAGATGGAGATAGACGATGCCCAGCCCACAGCCGGAGCATATGCCAGGGGAGTGCAACAGATGCTCAACGTCATCCGCAAGACGGAGGGCAAAACCAGAAGGTTTGCAAAGGACGAAGAGGCACTCGACCTCAAGTGGCAAAACTTCCAGATTCAGCTCCGCCAAGCCTTCTGCAAAGAGCGCATCAAATACCACGACAAGGCCGCCAAGCTGCAGGAGACCCAGAAACAACAAGAAGAAGCCCTGGCAGAGATGCAGGAGGCCTTTGCGGAGCCGAGAAGCATCAACAAGAACCGCCTGGACAACATCGAGGACCAGGAGGCAATGAAGGAGCTCGACAAGCTCCTGAATGGACCAGACGAGGAGTCGGCCAATGGTTTGGCGGAAATGTCGGCAGGAGCCATCAGCAGTGGGGCACGCGATGCCGAGGGCAAGAGACAGCACATACTGGGAGTCATCGAGGAGCACAAGGCCAAGGCCGCGGGGCTGGCGTCGGACTACCTTTGCGGCGAGAACACCGCCGACAAGCAAGACGGGATACCCGGATGCTGCACAAAACCTCAGGGGGACTTCACGGAGGAAATGGTCTGGAAGAGATGACTCTGCGGGACCCGTCCTCACGTCACAGTGCGGCCGGCAAGTAGCGGGGCGGTCTGCTCCAGGTCCCGGGCATCCAGCAGGATGCCGATCAAATGTGTGGGCCGCACCCCACAGAGAACAGACCACTCAATGAAGTCGGCAGACAAACTCGATTCGCAACGAGCGAAGATGACGGAGGCTGCGGTCCAGGATATTGCCGAGGAGTCGGACGAGGAGGAGAGCATCGCAGAGCCCGCAAAGCAGAGGGCGACGCAGAAGGAGATGGAGGAGTAGCCCCCCAGCCAGGTATGAACGGCACTTTGCCGATATGGGTGGAACAACCGGGGCTTCTTTGGCTCGTCCCCGGGAGGACACCCACAATATAATAGTGCCACTGCAAAGCTGCGAAGGCAGTTGGTGGCGATATGAAGCATCGGGTGGCTTTTTCGGTCAGTCCACCGATGCTGACGCTACAAACAGTTTTGACAACGCGGTGACAAGGCTTGCAAGCCCTGAACTGCAGGAAAACTATGATGATGACGACATGGAAGGCCCTCATGAAGATCGACAATACCATGAGTGGGCCAAGTAAAAGGTCAGCTTTCCTGACTATGTGGAGGAGCTGACGGAGACTGCCATGGATGGCCTGCTTCAAACAGCCAGAGGCTATGAAACGCAGTAGGGCTGCAGGACATACCATTGCAGCTCTCTACATGAGTGCCCTCCTCGCCATACTGGGATTGGCGGCAGGACCAAAGAGGACAGGCAGACGACTACCCTGCGCGCGATGTGCTGAAGCAGCACCGAAGCAGACCTGGACTATGTCAGCAGTACCCAAGCCGAGTGGCATTGAGTTATGGGCGGCTGGGCAATCCGCCCGCCAGGGAACAACTGGCGGAGGCGATCCGAAGATGGAATGTGGAGCGACCACTGGAACATGGAACAGGAGAGACGGCCACCCCTGTTTATGCGGTCCCAGTTCCTGATACAGGGGCAGCGCCAGAAGCGCTCATGGCAGAAGAGATTGGCATCTATGTTACCATGTGGATTGCCACCCCATACTACGAGGCGGAGATCATCGACGTTGACCTCCCACAGCCCGTCCAGTTGGCAACAGTCCGGACTACCTGGACGATCACCTGGAGACTGTCCCCCACAACTCGACGACTACTCTGCCAGTTTTGTGGCACAGCCGAGGTGGCTGAGACTCACATCAAGGACAGCTATGGTGATGGACTGTCGCACCATTGGTGGGGCTGCCTACGTCACATATTTGGACGGACAGGTCAGCAGAGACAGTGTGCAAAAACAGGTTGATGATTACAACGGGCACGACTACGAACTCTACTGTTTTGGAAGCCAGCTCCCATTAAGGCGAGGACAGGCGGTGGAGACAGTCCCAGGAGGGGTGATCAAGGTGATCCCAAGAGGGGCTGTATGTGCCTGGGCAATTGCATACTGTCTATCAAGGCCCGGAGGACCAGGTGATCCAGGAGATTGATGAAGGTGACAACAGGCCGCTAGAGGTGGCTGCTGCAGAAGCACTGGATTGGGAACACGGGGAATGCTCAGTGTGGTTGCCAGAGACCAGAATCCCGAGGCTATCTCATGCAGGTAGCAGGGTGTGGGAGCAAGTGGCTGTACTGGACGAGCAGCAGGCCGCGGCGGAGCCAGCACGAATTGTGGTCCTAGACCTACGTGGACTCACACTGTTCCCACAGTGGGTGCAGCTAGGTGTGGACACATTTGATGCCCGGACATATGTCGAGGAGCTCCAGCTGCCGGGAGCCGAAGGATGGACCCTGATGATTGATGGAGGCGAGCCAGTCGACGATGGCACATCAGTTAGAGCCCAGCACTTGGGAGGTGCTGACTTTGTATCTCATGCCCAGCGAGGATGTCTCTGACACGGACGAGAGCACGCAAGACAGCGATGGAGATGCTGGTGAGGATGACGAATCATCATCGACGAGAACTGAAGAGATGCAAGACCCTCTTGCTTCCAGTGGATCATCGGCATCTACGAATACTAGAAACGGCCCACCAAGGGGCCCACCACCGCCCATGTCAATAGAAGCCGATCACCGCGGAGAAGAAGCGACCCAGCAAATGATGGACAGCGAAAAGGCTCTGTTAGATGCCTTATAAGCTCATGGACCATCTTCTGCCAGTGACACACCGCCTTGATGAAAATGCGGTGCGACTGCCGCACACCCGGGACATCCCCCGGGACCATATGATCCAAATGTGCAAAGAATGGCCGCTCACGTGGCTTCAGCGAGAAGTGATGGTCCCGGACCTCCACCCGAACACCGAAGAGGCCATTGCACAAACGTGAAAGCCCGGGATGAGACAGTGGAATTCCAGCTCTACACCGATGGCTCGGCCAACGAAAAACAGGGTACGAGTGGATTCTCAGTTGTCATCTTGATGGGGGTGGGGGCCACAGCAGCCATCTTTGGATTTAAAAGAAGGGAACTATGTGGAAACCCACAATGCCTGTGGCTATGCGAAGGTGCTATGGCCTTAGGCTCAGAGCAAATCGCCGCCGCTGCTGGAATGCTCTCATTCTGTACGATTGTACGGCAGCTGGCATGCCAGTTGATGGAAGCTGAAATGCCCCGAATGATCTTGGCGTGAGAACCAGGCACCTGGACCAGATGATCCAAGAGATGAACAACATCCCGGTGAAGTGTGCCCCCGTCAAGGGGCATGCAGGTGACACGTGGAACGAGTATGCAGATAGCACTGCAAAAATGGCAGCGCGGGGAGATTTGGAAGCAGTCGGACCACCAGAAGAAGCCATTAGGCTGTTCCTGCAGGCTGATATGGCTTGGATGGCGACGGAGTTGGTTGCAAACAAACATGGCACCCTGCCCTTGGAAGGCGGGAAGCTGGTCTGGGGACAGCAACCCTTTAAAATTTCCTGCTCCACACAGCGGATCTGATCCCGATGAACGGGCCAGAGCTGACCCCCAATGGGAATGATGACTTCACTACGTCAATGTGCAGAGCCTGACTGGGTTATACCGTTATACCCCTATGTCGAGCAATGTGATGCACTGGGCTTCAACGTTGTCTTCATACAAGAAACCAAGGGCTACGAAGGCCAGTGCATGAGACAGTTGTACATGAGGTTATCCACCAACTCAGACCCATATGGGTGCATCGTGTCAAAGGAGTCTGCAGTATACAAGGCAAGCCGCTGATCTGTGGCGAAGCAGACTTGACAATGCTACATAGGTGCCCCCGGATGCTGGCGATGGTCGCAACCATCGGAGAAATGAAAGTCGCAATGGTCACTTCGCATTGTCCGCGCTCCACCCGGCCCCCTCCAGAAAGTCGAGGGTGTGCTCCAGCGAGTCAGACACGAGGACAGGACCGGCCGTGTTATGGTTGGACTCATGAATGCTTTCGGCTTGTGGGCTCCGTGCACTTTTGGCCGCCCACATGAAGGAGAGACTCGCGCGCGCATGTCCATCCAAACGGCAGCGAGAGCAGATTGGACTACATCGTGATTTGAGGGTGAGCAATGGTGACCGGTCAGCTGGACACACAAAAGTTTCGACAATGGCAGCCCCAATATCGACCATATCATGGTGGCATGTGAGCTCCGGGGACACGTCAATGGAGAACAGCCTCGGAGCTTACGGAGACCGAGGCATGACGTCGAACTCCTCCACACGGAGGAGGGAAAACGGTGCATCAAGGAAGCCGTGAAGGCCTTTGAGCACCCGAGATGGCAAGTGCACCCGGATGATCATTGACAGCGGCTACAGGAATACGTCAAACCTTGCAGGGTAACTTTCCTCACAAGCCGACAGCTAGGGCGACCTATATCAATGAGGAAATCTGGGCCTTGAGGAACAAAAAGAATGCCTCCAAGGAACGCACAAAACACCGCACAAAGGCATGGCAAGAGATGGCTTCGAGCTTGGAAGGAAGAGGACGGGGAGATGTATGCAGTTGTGGCCCTCTGCAAGCACAACCTCCTTTACCAGCTCAGTGCGGCGGCCATCAAGTATGCCATGCAGCGAATCAAGAAGCAGGTTGCAGTGCGCAAGGCCCATTTCCTTGACAGCATTGTGACTGAAGGACACCAGGAAGTCACAGCGATACTACAAAGGGCCAAAAAGGCTGGTATATCAGGCAGAGGAACAAAAGTTGAGCAGGCCCCTTCCTCTACTTCTACGTCCTGACGATGGAAGGCCAGCTGAAACGAGGGCTGACAGAGACCAAATTTGCCTGTCGTTCTTCGGAGCCCAGGAGTGTGGTGAAATCATGGAAACGAGCAAGCTCATCCAGGAGGCCTCGTCGAACTGGATTGAGGAACCAGAGACAGGGTGGACATGCCAGCTGCTCCCCAGCCTTTTTGACGTGGAGCAGACGATGAGGAAGGTACCCAAGGGAAAGGCCCTGGACTCGACGGCATACCCAGCGACATGATGCACGCTTGCACTGTATAGATGGCGGCCCTATATCAGCCGTTGTTCCTGAAGAGCCTACTCGGAGGAAGAAGACAACCACTGCAGTGGCGAGGCGGTGTTCGCTTTGAAGCGATCAAAGGAGTTGGAGGACAGGAGCTGGTCGAGGGGTACAGAAGTCTTTTTTGGAGTTTTGCTGGAAAAGCATTGCGCAAAGCAGTGAGGCAAAAAATTGATGCCGAGGTGGAGGCAACCCTCCACCTTCTCCACTTCGGCTCGAGAAAGAATGCCCCGGTGCAATTCCCTGCTTTGTACATCGAGAAACACCTCCAGCGGTGTAAAAACGCCAAGCTAAACACTGCTGTCTTATTTGTCGACTGCAAACAAGCATACTACCGCTTGGTCAGGGAACTAGCGGTAGGGCCAATAACCGCGGATGCGACGATTGAGAAGCTGTTTTGGAGGTTTGGGTTAGATGGGAGCGACATCAACGAGCTGAAGGAGGTGATCACAGGAGGTGGAGTTTTCAGTGCCCACATACCCGAGCCAATCAGGAAAGCCACCGCCGACTTCCACCGTCTCACTCGGTTTATTACGAGGACCGCCTATGCAAATCCCTCGCTGGTTCAAAGACCGGGAGAAGCATGGGCAGACGTGGTGTTTTCATTCATCTACACCCGAGTTCTTCATCGAATCCAGATGGGGAAGGACTGGTGTTCCAGTTGCCATGGAGCACCGAGAATGGCATATACGATGATGGCACCGCGGAAATCCAAACAGCGGCACGCTACACGACGTGGGCAGACGACACGGCCTATCCGGTTGTGTCGGACACGGCGGATGGCCTCCTGACGGCTACAGCGAGGACCTCCTCTGTGGTCATCAGTTCGCTGCGGTCATATGGGCTCCACCCCAACTTGAAGCGGAACAAAACCAGCATCATCCTGCGAGCTGGAGGACCTGGAGCGACTGCAGCAAGACGAAAATTCTTCTCCAATGGTCGTGCTGAGATATGGCTCAGCGACCTACACGAAGCAGCGCCAGTGGTGAAAGCCTACAAACAATTGGGAGGCTATGTGGATGCTGATGCGAATGGCAAGGCCGAAGTCAAGTACCGGTACTACCGATTGGCCATGGCGGCAGCAGCGTTCGAGGACGCCAAGAAGTTGATTCTCCAAAACTGGAGCCTGCTGATTGCTACGAGAGGCAAGCTCTGTGAAAGCATTGTTGCTACAACGGTCTTCAACGTAGCCTTATGGCATCCTGAAAGTCGCCACTGGAATGAGCTCGAAGATGGGTACTCACGACAAGTGAGACGCCTGCTTCACCATGAGACTAGGGGACAGGAGATCTTTCATCCCCCCCTGCCATTGGCACATTGGCCTGCCGGATGTTGGCCATTGGGATATCTGGCTAGACGGGCCAGGATCAGCACTCTCATCTCGATGGCCAGGGCAGGACCGCCGTTTTTTTTTGGGCTCTGTTGCAGGCGGAACCGCGCTGGCTACGGCAACTGCAGCAAGACCTGCAGTGGCTAGTGGACGATGAGGAGGACAAACGGCCAGCACTTGGAGCTGCCAGCTGGCATCACTGGTGGCATCTACTATGGGACTCACCAGCGAGAGTCAAGCGAACAGCTGCCAGAAAATTGGCACGAGATTTCGAAGCCTACAAAGAGAAAGAGGCCATCCACTTATGTCTACAAGGATATGCCAGCCCGAGGAGGGGACATCGAGCACTCATGGTGGTGTCGAGGATGCTCCACGTCCTTTGGGAGCAAAGCTGCACTGAGTGTGCATGCGGTGCACGGGCGTGTTGCCCGCTTCCGGCGTCTGTGAGGCGGGACCTTCTTCAAGGCCTGCGGAACGGAGTGCTGGACACCAAGGCGCTTGGAGGATCACCTACGAGCGTCGAAATGGCGTGTACAGGCCCTCGAAACCAACAGGCTCAAACGAACACGAAGCAGCCGGGCTACGGCAGCCGAAACCGACGGAAAGGAAAGGGTAACTACACCCTGGCCCCGCCACAGCGAGTAGCGGAAGGATTGCAGGCCTGCCTCGACGAAAGACCCTGCGAGTGGGAGGAGGCCCTTTACAGGAGCCTTCCCAGCTGTATTCATGCACAGGAGATGAACTGGAAGAGCTACAGCGGCGCATAGATTGTGCTGTGAGACAGCACCTGGTCTACCAGGAGGAGATCGAGAAGATTGTAGCTCGACTACTCGCAGAGGTCGAAGAATTGCAGAGAGTTCCGGAGCTGCGGACGTGGACACTGCAACAGCAAGAGGCCATTTGGAAGACGTTGCAGCGCGTCTCCATGCCGATTGCGGCAATCAAGGTGAACAGCGAGCACTAGCAGCTCTCCGCCTATAATGGCTTCAAGCAGATGGTCGACGGCTTCGATTGGGAAGGGGCGATCACGGCACAGTTAAAGGACTCCGGGACCCCAGAAGTAGTTAAGCACGAGCTGAGCCGGACCTACTTCCAGATTTGTACACAGTCGGGAGGGCGTTCAAAGCCGAGAAGGCTGTACAGTTGACGGCCCCGCAAGCTTCTGGAGTCATGCAGTCGCGGCATCCTCTGTGCCAATTCGACTGAAGAGTGCAACCAATTAGGCTGCGTACTCCGCTGACAGCACCGAAATGCCGGAAAGATATATATATATATATATGTGTGTGTGTGTGTGTGCTTGTGTGTGTATGTGCAACTGTGTGTGCACATATCCTGTGTATACAGATACTACACACATACAGCCAGCCAGGCAGGCAGACAGACATACACACATACATACGAGCTGAGATCGTGCGCATGAGAGTTGAGGGTGCCGGGTTCATTTCGTGCGTGTATCATGGAGGCTTGACCGTACAATGGAGATAAAGATGTCGGGCCGGGGTGTGGTATGTCAGGTGCATGGACTTCACAGTCTTAAGGCGCAAGAATTTAATTGTACGTTTTTGTTCGGCCTGTGTGGCTGATTCTACCTGGTTCCGGCCTACTTAGCACTCCCGCCTCCAGAGTGCCTTTTGTTTTTGCTTTCTGCTTTCACCAACCTCACTAGGCATCAGTCAGTGTCGCCGAATCCCGGAAGCATCACATACTCCTACTTCTTTTGTGCTCGGGATTGTTTCGTTTTGTTCGTGGTTGAGGCAACCTTACATTCGAAAGCCTTTTTTCAGCCTCGAGGTACTCCATCCTCGTCTTCAGCGACATGGTGGAAGGCTTTGGCGCAAACCTTCCGATGGTGGTTCTTCCCTACATCCTAGAGACCTGTTTCTGCTTGATGGGTTGGGGGAGGGACACTTCTTAAAGTTCAAAACATTCGCTTCATCGACCGTGACAGCTTGATGAAGCACCCCGACACCACCGAAGACTAGTATTGCATGAGAGCCGCTGGCTTTCCTCGGGCACTGTCGGATTTTTTCTTTGGTGAAAGTCGACCTGAGAACGAGTTCTTATAGGGTTTGGGCAGTGGTGTAAGGTAGGCTTGACACGCAGTGCTCAGCCTTCCGCGGCACTTGGCACCGTCAAATTTTGCTTCCAGTCGTTTGCTTTAGAACGGCGCCGCCTGCCTGGGGCCTTGCGAGGCAGGTGGAGCAATCCTTAAGCCTTAAATTTAATCGTCAAGCCTGGACCCATCAACCCTACAGGCCCCTGAAGTCCTCAATGACCCCAGAGCCCAAACTCGAAACCGCAAGCTTATGAGCTCATGACTTCAAGGATTGGGTCGTCGGGAAGCAGGCAGCCGAAGACCTCATTGGTTCTTCTGGAGCCTCATTGATGGAAGGGTGGTTGAAGTTTGGGGCTTGTGTTGGAGGCCTGTTCTTGAGAGTTTGGGCTTGCTTCTTAGATGCTTATGAGCAAGATTACAGTAAAACCCAGAAGCTCTGTCAGCTTGAGGGAGAAGCACAGCCTAAACCACGGAACGCCCGAAAGTCGGTACCTTCTTCCACCAAGGAATGCTATTTGCGGCCTGCGTGGTCGGGCACATGGTCGTCCGCATCATCGCGACGCCCGTGTGGAAGTCGCTGGCAAATCGAGACTTGCGCTGGGACTCTATTCAGCTGCTGAAAACATGATACTGTGGCCCAAGGTTGTTCCAAAGACGTTGGGTATGTATGTATATAGATAGAAAGATAGATAGATAGATAGATAGATAGATAGATTGATAGATTGATAGATAGATAGATAGATAGATAGATATGTGTATGTCGATTTCGTTCAGCCTTGTTCAGCCTGCATCCGTTCATAGTTCCGGCTTTGGCCCCTGTGCCCCTTGCCGCCTGCGCACTGTGGGGGCATGGGAGCTGTGAGGATATGGCAAATACAAGCTCTTCGTTGCATTCAACATTTTCTACGGCCTCCATATGCGCCTTATTTGCAGGCATGGTCATAGATCCCCAAGCGCTTCAGGGCGAGTCGTCACACCCTGGGCACCGCAAAAACCCTGAGATGAACTTCATTTCTATGCACCGAGAGGGCGGCGTTGTCGTCCGCACTTCTCCCAAAATCCTGCGCATGCGTCTTCCTCTTCACTCGGAAGGAGCTGTGCCACGCGACTTGAGGCTTAGGATGCTGCCCTGCTGCCCGAGGTTCCTGTTCCTCATGGTTGGCCAAGGTAATGTGCCTTGGACAGCCACCGATTTGATTGGTTGGCTGGCTTGCAATCGTGTAGTAATGTTGTAGAAGTGCTGTCTATCAATGCTCGTGGTAAGGGTCCTCGTCGTCGTAGTGGTAGTGGTCCAGTGGTGGTAGTGGTAGTAGTGGAAGTAGTAGCAGTAGTAGCAGTAGTAGTAGTAGTAGCAGCAGCACCAGGAGTAGTAGTAGTAGTAGTAGTAGTAGTAGCAGTAGTAGTAGTAGTAGTAGTAGTAGCAGTAGTCGTCGTTGTAGTAGTAATAGCAGCAGTAGTAGTAGTAGTAGTAGTAGGAGTGGTGGGAGTAATAGTAGTAGTAGCAGTGGTAGCAATAGTAGCAGTAGTAGCAGAGTAGCAGTAGTAGTAGTGGTAGCAGTAGTAGTAGTAGTAGTAGTAGTAGTAGAAGTAGTAGTAGTAGCAGTAGTAGTAGTAGCAGTAGTAGTAGTAGTAGTAGCCGTCGTGGTGGTGGTGGTGGTGGTGGT